CCTGCTTTATTGCCTGACCAAATGTTTGCAGGCACCCAGAGCAGAGTGGGCAGCAGAGCCCTATGTGTGGCAATTCTGCCAGTGTGGTCTAGGTGGAACAAGTTGCCCTGAGAGGTTGGGAAGACTCCTCCTCTGGAGATATTAAAAAACCTTCTGGACACTTCTGTCCCTGATCTGCCACCATCTTATCATGTCTTCTTACCAATAATCTATCTGCACTGCTTCCAGATACATCTGGTTATTACCTCCATCCTGTCCTGACTCTGAACTACATGCTTTGGTGTGCTTAGCCTCTACTCCATAATACTCTCTTCATTYGACATCGATGTCATACACTATAGAGGGGCGGTCAAGACCAAAGGACTGACTTCACTCCTTTTCCCAGCTCCGCTTGACTGTGGTGTTTGCAGCTGTGAATGTCATGAGTTTCAGTAGTGATRCATAAATCCTTAGAGTTCTGTGCAGCCCCCGTAGTGATACTATCTCTCATGTTTTCTCCTGGAAATTCTGATGGCTGATGAATACAGCCTGTTTTTCCATGACACAGACAAAACTGGTTTTGCTCACAGAGGTGGAAGTTAATTAGTGATACAGTTGTGGTTAATATTATTAGTCMTATCTCATATATTCAATTTTATGAAGCTAAGAGTAGGGTGCTACAACTTTTGTTATATGTGGTCATTTAGCGTAAATCCTTATCTGTCTGATAACTTGCCAAAATGGGATCTGTTCCAATATTTGCGCCAATATCAAACAAATACAATGGAAATAGAGTAGGAATAAAAATACATTTGTTTATGTCTTTCAATCAAAAGTGTTTTCCTTTGGTCCATTTTCAACTGTGGCAGTATGAAGAAGGAAGGAGTAAGTACTTGGGTGATGGTTTCTGGTTAGACAAACTTCCTTCCCCCCCCCCAGTAAAAACATACTTGTCACTTGTTGGTGCATAGCTACCAGGGAAATTGTTGCCATACCTTGTTGGTGAAAATGGGAAGGTTGAAACTACCAAAAGTAAAAACGTTTGTTCTTGACAGCCAAGTGAGGTCATGTTGGTTAACTTCACAGTTCAAAATACTTATGCCAGGAGGCTCTGGGCCAAGTGTTTAATTTTAGGATTCATCCTACTGTAGCGAGCTGGCAGTGRTCTGAAATGATTAGTGGTTGTAGTATATGCTCTGTGCAATACAGTAAGTTTTTTTTTTTTTAATGTGGTAAGACTTACGGCCTTTCTTGTCCCTTGTAATGGTCTGGTATAATAGGAGYGTAGTTAAATAAGGCATTTCAGATAGTAAGTGAAAATCAGAAACGGAAGTATTTTAGCAGTTGCAGTGAGGATAAAAAAAATAACTTCAAACCAGTCCATGTTTGTACGATAGTAAAGATTGCAGGATTTTTATGTCCATATGCAATCAAAGATTCAACAAAAAGGAGAGCTTCTTTATACTGTTTGTACAATATGATCTGTAGAAAAAGCAGGGATAGCCTTTTAATGGTATTGCTAGATTATTAAGGACACTTACATACCCCAGTCCCCTTTTTCCAGAGGTAATAAACCAGYATATCCAAATATGCTAATTAACAAAGTTTCAGGAGTTAATTTTTGTGTACAACATCCTTACACTTGTCTGTTAAGTGTACAGAACAGGAACATCAGTTTCTTGAAACTATCCTCTAAAACCAGTCTGCAGTGTTTGAAATCCAAAATAGCTACTATTAGCTAGAATTGCTTGTTCTGTTGTGTTTCTTTATAGAAGGAATGTTTTTTCCCCACATGGRAGATTTATCTTGACATTTTTACACATCCCTGGTGTATTGGAAAGGAAATTTGGAGAGACACACTGTGTCTAGATCTCAAATACCCTGTGGTTAGAAGAGACTTTGTCTTGGGCTAAAGTGTTTAAGGTTTTGAACGTGCAGGAGAACATTCAATTAGAACATTCAGTAGAACATTCAATTAGAACATTCAATTACCTGGGGTTTGCCAGGTATGAAAATACAGCTGTGTTACCCTGATAGGCTAAACATCAAGTGCTAGATTTCTCTTGTTAATTCCTGTTGATGACAACATTGCTCACTGGGWTGTCTTTTTGGGAAAGGTTAGAATCAAATAATCAATAGAGGAAATAAAAGAATAGGATTGCCTTTGTGACCTCCCTTTGCTTCCTCTATTCATATGCATTCTGATACAATCTTTTTTCGTGTTAGAATTTTTCCAAGTTGCCATTGCTTTCATTTCAGGGTGTAGATGTATTTCTAGGACTGAATAAGGGCAGTGTCTGCAGGAACATACCCCTGGCTGTTGGAGAAGCTGGAAGACAAGTGGGATGAATGATTACAGAAACAAGAAGGATGAGTYTCATGGTTACAGCAATTGAGTTCTGATAGGTTGTTTTTCTGAACCTGGTTTGGTCACTTAGGGTGTGTGTTCCACAGGTAGTCAGTAATTCAGGGTGTTTGCAGGCAGCCACCTTAAGCCTTGTTAATAAATTTTTAATGCATTTGCCTAGGTTTTTAAAAAATAAAACCGGACGTAGAAATTGTATGTTGTAAGCCTTGGCCAAATCCTTCATGGTTCATTAGCATGACTGAAGGGGTTAGATTCACTACATAATCCTTTGTCATTTTAGCCAGGAGAGAATTTGGAAGCAGTACTGTGGTTTGTCATCTCTGTGTGCCAGCAGAGGTAGCAGGGAAGCACTTGATTAGTTTGCACGGGATGGAAGAACCCTTCAAGTCAAGAGACTTGAAAACGTGCTTCTCTTTTAACATTGGGCTGGGGCAGTTACAGATGCCTTTGGGAGTTCTACAGCTGTTACCTRTTATTTTTTGAATTCACCTTTCTTGCCCTAACCTGCCTCAACTTGGCTTCACATGCTAGCCCAAACTTCCAAACTGGTCAGATCCAAATCAGTCCTCTCTTTTGGTCTTTCTTCATGATCTTGTTTAGGGCCATATCTTTTCCCCTGCCACATCTTTTTCAGTTTTCTCCCCTAGCTCTTTGTCTGAGGCTTTTTGCCATGTGAATCCTTTGTTGCCTTCTTGTCTGGTCAGTGCTGTGCTGTGTTTCATCATTTTGTACTACCTGCTTTCTCTTGATAGACCATTAGTTGCTGGTACTATCTTTTAGGCTCCTACTCTCTAACCCTGATGTCTCTTGAGACAAATGGCTTTCCTCTCCCCAACTATATGGAGTCACTAACAGAGTCCAAGAGAAGACAGATGGGACACAGAGTATGTCTCTCTATCTTAGTTTCTACAATTCCTAGTGTTTTTAAAAAAAATCTGCAAAAGGTCCTGTTTGCCTGTTTCTACTGGAGTGTGCCTGAGTGGCTTGAGAGGCTGGCTCAGTCTCAAACCTGTCCGTGAGTAAGATCTCTCAGTGGGTGGTAGCACGTATGGCACAGATGGTATCTTCAGAAACGTGGGTGCCAGATCCTAACAAGATTCAGTGAGCACGTGTTAGCTGATTTTTTTCCCCCATTTTGGTGTTTTTGACTTGGCACAGTGAAAAAACCCCCACCACCAAACAAAAAAACCTCCTAGGAAAAGCCTAGGTTTTTCCTAGCTTCCTGCTTGAAGCTTTCAAAAATATCAGGCAATTGCGCATTCTCGTTGAAGTGTAAAATAAGTTAATTTACTTTACTGAGGCACCAAACTTCTGCAAAAATTCATCTTAGGGCAAACATGTAGCATTGCATGCTGTATGCTAAAATATGTGAAATTTGGCAATGTTAAAAGAATTTGAAGTCCAAAATATATAAGAAAAGAGATTTGAATAAAAATAACACTACCARTTAAATTTTTAATTTAGAAGAAAAGTTTTTCTGAAAAGCGTGTGCATATATATGTGTCTAKCTCAGTAAGTAGTTTTGTTCTGCGCTGGGTTGTGTTTTTTTCTGAAGAATTCTGTCTAGTTACAAAAACTGTTTGCAGCTGTTTGTCCTGACTTCTTCAGTCGGGCTGTATCTCAACTGACATGGTTGCATGAGCAACCATAAATGTCTGCTGGTTTTTATTACTCGTCTCCCTGACCTTGAGTCTTTGTATACTGTCCTGTTATTCACATTGGTACAAAATARGTGTGTTACTCTGAATTTGTAGTATGTGCTTATTTTGCATGACATTTGGGCCCTTTTTGTCAGGCCTCTAATGTTGCTGTGGGATTTTCCAGTTCTGTACAAAATGCCTTGATATTGAGARGTGGTGATCTGTATTGCGTTATGTTGTTTCTGATCAGAAGAGTTCACACGTGAAATAGTGGGGTTTTTTAAATGATCTTTCCTAGTCGGTAATTTACTGTATTAGTTCCTGCCTAGCCTTATGATTGCATATTGCATTTTATATATTTTTATGTACTTGAACTTTTATAGGCTTAGTAGGGAAAAGAAAGAAATACCAGTAAGAATAACAGCCTCTGAACATCCAGTCTGCAGGGTACCAGGTTACACATCTTACCCTATTTTTTACACTTCTTGAAGGTGAGCTGATATGCCRTGGTTATGATTTTCTGCGCAAGTGATGAGCCACTGAAAGGCTGGAGTATTGCTGATTTACAGAGGCGGGGTAACTTGGGATATTCAGCTGAAAAAGGAACAGGAGTGGTAACAAGCAGCAGTAGTGGTAGTAAAGGCAGAAGCAGGTTCCACAGCAGACTTCCCCAGTGTGAGTCAGTGAATGCACAGCATACCAGCTAGCTGTCAGGAGGAACCCAAACCCGACTATTGCAAGAGATTCGGGGTTCACGTTTATCATGCCAAGTCATGTGGTCTTACTATATCTTAACTTGCCAACTTAGCCTTAGTCCGGAGAAGATCCTTTGCTGCAGTGCTTAACGAAAAAAA